GTGAACAGTCCTGAGAAATAACATTACAAGGTTAAAAATATTTTGATATCTTCAGACTTAAACTGTAGTAGACTGGACTCTCCATACTTGATTTTGACCAAAGTGCCATAATAATAGTAGGCGGTGAAACGATACTTACTCACTCTGTGTCCAGTTTACAGTTTCTGAAAATGAGTTTCATGACTCTTGTACCCTCTTACAGAGGGCAGGATGAGGCTATATAAAGCAGAGTGCAATCACGGGTACGTGTGGGAAGAGATTAGAGGAAGGGTTGCTTTCCTATAAGGGAAAATAAATTTGTCCTGAAGAATGCCTCTCGGCTTTCCTAGTAACCTGATATAGTAGGCAAACATACTAGCAGTCTAAATGAGGACTTTGTTTTTGGTGACAATTCACTGAGTCTGAGCCAACCCCAGAAGCTAAGCTTTAGCCAATTACAGGCTGCTGTCTGATCAGACCATACCCAAATAAGCAAAGACAGTTACAACCAATCAGGCTGTTTCTGTATGCCACTCCCACCCCCACCCCACGCTGGGGATTAAATCCAGGGCCTGGGTAGGCCAGTCCTCTACCACTAAACTGCATCCCCATCTCGGTGCTTCACTTCTGTTTTCTGTTCATAAAGGATTAGAGTTCTCTGAGTTTCAGATTACAAAGGTTGATCATTATTCAAGTCATTCTTTGCAGTTACACTCTGTTAAATTTAATTAAAGTTTTTCTTTTAACTGCACAGACTGAGATATCTGAATAATAACTTTGCGCACTGATATTCTGATTTCTGGACTGAGGCTGCTTGCAAGGTAGATGATCCAAGGACTGTCAGTTACTTAGAACTAGGTTGAAAAGCTAAGGAATATTCTCATTTTCATGGGAGTGTTGGAAAAGACAATCCTAATTACATAAAATTCATGAGACAACGAGAGATGAGGAATGAGGTGTTTTGATCATGTCTCTAAAATTACAGTATTTATACAATAACCTCTTGTGAAAAAAAGAATCCTTGCAGCAAAATAGAATGGAAAGTATAACCAAAGAAGAAGAAAAAGAAGAGGAGGAAGAAGAGGAGAAGGAAGAAGAAGAAGAAGAAGAAGAAGAAGAAGAAGAAGAAGAAGAAGAAGAAGAAGAAGAAGAAGAAGAAGAAGAAGAAGGAGAAGAAGAAGAAGAAGAAGAAGAAGAAGAAGAAGGAGAATGTGGTTACGTCTGTCAAGGTCTGTCCTGTCCCTGCTATGGTTTACAGGAGAAGCTTCATACTTGTCATACATCTGAAGGATTATGCTAAATTTACAAAACTGCTAAGATGCTTCTGAACAATGGAACATGGCTCCAGGCTACAATTTCCTTGCATGCACTACAGTGTTTTAGACTACCAGTGGTCTCTTCTCTGGAGTGAAAATAATATATCAGTAGAAGACAAGTGGAAGGAACAAACTGTTCTCCAGGTAACCAGACAGTGTACAGAATCACAGAGAGAACGCATCCTGTGGTCCACTAATGTTTCAGGAGCCCTCCATCCTCAGCAACCCCATTTCAGGTCCTTTCCCTTTTTTTCTTCCTAATTTTTCTCACTTTCTTTTCTAAACAGATAGTCTTTGCTGACAGACTGCACTTTGGTAATCATTGCACAATACGAATTGATGGCTTTGTTTACAAGAGCCTTGCTGGTATTTTTTTTTTTTTTTTTTTTACCCTTTATACTGTTTGGCTTTTAAAATCGAGTGCATGTGGCGCTATGGGGCTCCTTTTGGCTGCCTTCCTCTTTGCCGTGTGGTATTTATGCCTTTTAAAAATTTTTATTTTTTGGTTGTCAATCCAGAGCATCTCACCGATGAGATTTATCAAAATGCATCTACAAATCAGCCGCTGAGAGACTGCCTGAGTACAAACTGTTATTAGGAAAATGATCGTGACAAGAAAACAGTAACAAGAACAGCTTTAGGGAAAAGCCAGATTCAGCTCTTTCTGGAAAGGCTTGTATTCTCCCAACGAAGAATAATTTATCAAAGGCTGTCACTCCGAATGAAATTAGATTTCTCTTTTAGTTTCAGTAATAGGCTGTTCCTAGAAAGACAGAGCCCAGAAACATTTGATAAAAAATAAATAAAATTACTTTTACTCACAGAAAGACAAGTTTGCCATGTTAGTCTCAGGGAAAGGACAAAACCCAGAATTCAGACATGCATCTGTCTGCAAAAGGCAGTTGTCTCCTCACCGTGTGCACACACGCGCACACACACACACGCACACACACACACACACACACACACACAACCACAACCACTACCACACAGGGGCCTCCACAGTACACATAAAATATGAAACATTTTCAATGTCATAGTCTGTGCTTAAGTTATAGTCACATTTTACTTCCTCTTCAAGCGTATCAATTAAATTTCAGAGAACATGCTCAAGTAAGAAAAACCAAGAATGAGGACACTTTTCCCTTATTTTTCACTGTTTTTCTCTATCTCCTTCTTTACCGTGCTACATACTCACTTACTTAGAAGACATGGAAACTTTTAGTGTGTCTTGCAACTACTTACCCTTCCCAGGAGATCAGTTCACCATGGAATCCACAGGGCAGCCTGACAGTGGAAAGTGGCACTGCCTGTGGTCCCAGTCACTGGGAGACTGAAGCAGAAGGGTTGCTTGAGGTCAAGAGTTTTCGGCTAACTTGGGCAATATAGCAAGATGCTGGCTCAAACAAAACAACAATAACAACAATAGAGATGGAAACCTGATGTGAGCCCTTGTACCAAACTCTGCAACAACCAGTTCCAAAGGGCTGGTGCTACCTGGTGCTGAAGTCATATGCACACCTGCTGGTAACTGAGGACCTTGAAGTCTTCACCTGTGCTCCAGGCAACCTTCTCAAGTGCAGCCATGCCAAGCGACTGTCCTCTCCAATGCACGTGACAAAATCTGACCTCCCTTGAAGCTGAGTCCTTTCCTAGTTTCTACTAGAGGCAAAGCTACATACGCAGAGTTGAAAGAGCTGCGGTGGGTTTGGATCCAAACCCTGCACTTCTTGTTTGTGCTTATCATTTATTCTTTTTTTTTTTTTTTTGTCTTTTTCCTTTTTGTTGGTACCAGGGATTGAACTCATGACTGCCTACTTGCAAGGCAGATGCTTATGCCGCTGAGTTAAATCCCCAGCCCCTTATCATTTATTCTTATGGGGGTTCAGTTTTCTCCTCTGTAAAACGTCCAACAATATTCCTAGAATGTGTTGGATGCATGGGGAGAGAGACCCTGCAGCCTGGGCTACTCTGAACATGAGGTGAGAGGGTCCCTTGAGCCCAAGAGTTCTGGCCCAGCCTGGCAACATAAAGGGGCCACAAAGAAAAACCAACAACAAATAAACACAGCGACTGATGCCTATGTAATGCCAGCATTCTGGGAGTCAGAGACAAGAAGATTCCAAGTTTGAGCCCAGCCCGTGCAATTTAGTGACTTAGGGAGACAGTCTGAAAATTAAAGAAAAAAAAAGAAGACTCTGGTTCAGCCCTGAGAGAGAGAGAGAGAGAGAGAGAGAGAGAGAGAGAGAGAGAGAGAGACACAGACACAGACACAGACACAGACACAGACACAGACACAGACACAGACACAGACACAGACACAGACACAGAGTGAGACAGAGAGATAGAAACAGAGAGGCAGAGGCAGAGAGGCAGAGAGAATGAAAAAGAAAAGGAGGAGGAAGAGGAGAAAGATTTCTAAAGTGTAGAATTACAGGCATTTAAAAAGATAACATTGCTGAGTGTTGAGCCCAGATTGAGGCATAAACAGGGGTGCTGAGTAACCATGAATTTCGGCTTCCCTCGCCTCAGTCAGCGAGCACAGAAACCGTGGTGGACAGATGTACAGTTTTCCTCCCTCAGCCTCCCTTTTCCTTAAAGACAATCATCAAATTATGGAAATCAGAACAAGCAAAGACCTTGGGAGTTTCGTTCATCTGACTTACTGATAAAATGGAGACCTACGTCCCGATCACTCACAGTTTTTACATCTCTATCAATTCCAAACGACCGCTACTTTACCATGGAATCGGTGGCTTGATACCTGACAACCATATTGAACAAAGAGACTCCACAACTATTCGGTGATCACATACAAACACAGTTTGGGGGTCGTAAGTTAAGCTCTATTATCTGAACTATTTTCCACTGGATATTTGTTGCTAAAGGTTTTTGAGAGTTTTCTCTGTCTCTAGTGTGTGTGCCTCTGCATATATCCCTTCTCTCTGCCTTTCATTAACTTGAGTAGAGGCTTCTGTCTCAAAGATAAATAGGTAAGAAAAGAATTATGGAAGTGAAACAAATGCAAAAACAATTCCAAAAGAATAAATATCAATTTTTAAAAGACTAAAATTGACTAATTAATAAATTACATTTCCTGTACGCTGGAACTATTTATTTATTATGTGCTATAGGATTGTTTTTTGTTTTTCTGAGTAGTTTATGGAAGAATATCCTAACAGGATCACTCTACTAAGCAAAATAAGATTTAGATATGTATATTTATTGTTCTTTATAGCACAAATACTCATTTTATATACCATACTGAATAACCATGCATGATCCAGATTTCTTATTTAATACCTTTACTCTCTTTTCCTATATTTCACATCCAATATGAAAATAAGTCATTCATAGTTAAATGTTTTATACCTGATGACACGAGGAAGGTAAATCATGTGCCATGTTAGGTACAAATGACTACCTTTCCAAAAGATTCCATTTCTTTCATTCCCCTAGATGCACTGAATATATTAACCACCCAGGGTAAACCCGGTAATAAAACTAAGCCAGAAAAGAATTAAAGACGCTACATCTAGTGATGATCTCTTGTACTAAATCCACTTGTTTGTCAGAGCAATGCGGCAGAATTCTGGCCCTCACACTTTCATGTTTTGCTCTGAGTCCGGTACACAGACTCAGTTCAGTGTGAGGCAAGCTGAAGAGTGAAGCACCCCAGCACAGTGTGGGGTCCTAGTGAGTTACCTCTGAAAGGCAAAGCCATGCTGCTCACATAGAAAAATAATGGCGACAAGGACTCCAACGCTCAGATGCTTCATCCCAGTGGAGACTTGCTGCACCCCAAAATTCTCCGAAGAGAAAGGCCTGGATAGTGGATTGCACAAGAGCCCTCTTTACAGAGTGGTTAAAGTATAACGGTGTGTTCCATCTCACTCCTGTGGCTCAGTCAGCTCAGTTTCTGTCGCCACCCCTGCAAAGAGAACACGCGTTGGGTGCCTGGAGATTATGGGAGTGTGAGAGTATGCGGAGATTGGTGATTCCTAGTGCAGGCCAGCTAGAGAACGTTTAATCCCTCACAGACGCTAAGGCTGAGAAGAAAGTACAGTAGGTAACGTAGTGGCTGGTTCTTTGAAGAGTCTCAGCCAGGGAATACTGACTGATGGCTCAGAGCCCACACGAGGGAGATCGTGAGGGCTTGCTGCTTGCTTTTTCAACATTTTTAACTTGGGCGAAGTCCTTAAAGGGGGAATCCTCACATATGTGGCTAATGCAAGGCTGAAAAATCTCCACTCAGAATATTTGTCCTTGACCTCATGAAAGGATGGATCCACTTCAAGAAGGAATTCTGTGTTATGCAGGCTAGTTCAAGCAGCAAAAGCATTAACAGCTCAAAGTCACATTAATTTTGGGAAAGTCACTATAATAGCCATCTTCTAAATCAGTGCACACCACTCCTCAGTTTGCAAGTGGCATTATTAAATATTCTGTTAATACAAAGCCTTATCTAAGCCCTGTAAGGCACCCTTCCCTGCAATTCCATTTGTAAAGGCATTTGAATGTTCTTGAGCTCAGGATAAAGAAATTTGCAAAACAAACCAGCTTGTCCCCAATGAACAACTAAGGGCAAAAAAGACAGATTTCAAAGTCTCCTTCTGAGTGTGAACCAATTGAAACAAATGTAATGATGGGGGTGACATCCACTGAAACTATATTCTGAATTAAGAGGAAACAAGAAGATATATGTGTAGTTATTCAATTGTGGAAAATACACACACCCAGAGGACAGAGGAAACTGATGAACCTGTCCACCTATACTGATGCAGAAGGGACGAGGGAGTCAGAACCACACAGAAGGAATGGGAGAGGGAGACTTTCTGAATAACTTTTTGAGTAATCCTCAATTGACCATTTATGTTTTCACATATTCAAAGCAAATACATTTTTAAATGAGCACAAATGCAAGCAAATGAACCTGTTTCAAATGAATAACAGAAACACACTGAAGCAAACAGCAAGCCCAAATAGCTTTTAGCTGTTTTTAAACACAAAAAGTAACTTTAGACAAACATGACAATATGCAGATAAATTTTGTCCACTTTATCCCACAAATATGTGTCATGTGTTTTTTCCAGAGGGTATAAAATTAATACATTGCTTTACATTTCTTTATGATGAAAAATCTTTCAAAATTCCCTTTTTTGGAGGGTTTTTACTCAAGGATACAATTTTTTTAAAAAAAATTAATCTAACTGGGCACTAACGATCTGTGCATTTCACTGGTGTATCTCAGTGGAAAGAGGTGGGATGCTGCTCACTGTGACCTCAGTCTGGTTTGTGGCTGCTGTTGATGTGCAGGAGACCGAGCAGGAACTTAACTAGACATAACTAAGTGGAGGCAAGTGGCACAACCTTTCATGTTCTGGGTATCTAGTTTTAACTGTATTCTACCCTTACTTTCAAAAGCTAGTTTAGCTGCTTGTGGTGTTGCTGTGTGACAGATGCTTTGTGTCTTGGCATCTGTTGCTATTTGGTAAGACCCTGCCATTGTTCCCTCCAGGGAAGCTGTCCATTGTACTTGATGGTTTTGAGTGACTGTATCTTTGACGCTTCCCAGACCCACTACTCTGTTCTAGATGTGGATTTACTTGGTGTTATCTTGCACAGTGCACAGAATATACCTTTTATCCGAGGATTTAGCTATTTCTTCAATCTTTGGAAACCACCATACTGTTATCAGCTAGTATTTCCACTAGTCCCTTGGGTTGGGGCTTCCAGGGAAGTTTCTTAGCTTTCTTCATGTCTTGTAACTGATTGTTTCTTTTTCTTTTCTTTTCTTTTTTTCCTTCCTTTCCTATTTAAAAAAAAATTTTAGCACTGAGAATTGAGCTAGGGACTATTGCGTTAAGCTACATGGCAGTCCTTTTTATTTATATACTTAATTTATGTTGAGACAGGGTCTCTCTAAATCCTGAAATTCCCTATGTTGGTCTCCAGCTTTCCATCCTCTTGCCTGAGCACCACTATGCCTAGTCTGTCCAGATTACTGACTAGTATTTTATGAATAAAATCCCTTCTGCTGACTCTGTCCCAGTTTTTGTCTCTAGCTCTGAGGGTTGGCATCAGGCCCACATGCAAACAAAGCAAGTGCTCTACCAGTTATATATCTTGAAATCCTCTTTATGATCTCTTAATGAGAATCCTGAGGATTCTTGAGCATCACTCATTATTAAGGATATGAGAATTAAAACTAAAATTCACCACCACATACTCCTGGCATGGTTCAAGTGAAAAAGGCTGGAAATAGGAAGCAACGGTGAGAATGAAGAGCAACCTGAGCAGAGAGTGCAAAATGACAGAGCCACTCTGAAAATCAGTTTGATAGTTCTTCAAGAAGTTAGGTACATCCTCATGATATGTCCCAGAAGTTCTATCCTAGATGTTTATGCAAGTGTAATATGAGCATTTGTCTAGAGGAAGACTTGAATGTCAGAGCAGCTGAGTGTGCAAAATGGCAAATGTTTGCAGTAGCTTTATTCACGATAGCAAAAGACGGGAGTTAATCCAAACATCCAGCCATCAGGAAGTGGATAAATCAACTATGATACACCCATGCAATGAACTGTTACTCAACAGTAAAGAAAAACAGAGTGTTGAAACATGTCTCAGCAGCATTATGTCACATAAAACTAACCATGTATGAAAAGATTAGATTGTATTATTTCTTTGACATGATACTGTATGAAAGGCAAACCTAAAACAGATAATAGGTAACTTGTTGGCAGGAATTGAGCCTATGGGGGGTTAAGCTACGAGGAAGTCCAGGAGAATTTGTGGGAGCGGTACAAATATTACACAGTTGTATCCTGCCAAGCATCCTCAACCCTGACATTGACAAGCTGAATTTGACTGGAAAGAAAAGGAGGAATAAAGAAGGAAGAAGGGACGGAGCAAGGGCAGCAGGCTGTCAGGAAACTTACATTCTTTGCTTCTCATCCTCCTGGATGCCTCTATGCTGGTCATGGTACCTTGTGGGGACACAGAAGGTACACAGAAGATGCATGCAATTGCTCCACCCCTAGTTGTGGGATCTCTTGTCACCTGCAAACCTCTTGGTCTCTTGGATGTACAGCTTCTTCTTTGGAAAAAAGTAAAGTTAGTAATAACCTGCATCAGAGAGCTGTTGTGAGGATAGGGCAGTGTAATAGTTAACTGTTGTGTCAATCTGAGTAAGAAATGCCCAACTAAATGGGATCATCACTGGGTGTGGCCGAGGGGATTTATAGAACATAGAAGACCTACCCTGGTGTGAATGGCATCAAGCAGGAGGCTTGCAGCCTGAACGGAACAATAAGGGGAGCAAAGAAGGAAGGCTTGCTTCTGTTTCTTAGGGGGAGCTGAAGTCTTCACCTTTACCTTGGACAGCGTCTCCTGGCTTCAAAGGTACTCTTCAGCCTCTATGGCATACCCATTGGCCTCCTGACAGGGACCTGCTCCGGACACTACAATGAGCTCCCAGCCTTCATCTAGATCTCCAGCTGGATCTCCAGCACAGAGACAGCCCTTTTGTCCTTTTCCACACCTGACTCTGTGCGTGAACAATGTAAGCCAGTATTGTAAGTTCTTATATATATATATATGTATGTATGTCTTGCATTAAATGTTTTGCTCAAAAGCACTGACTTATACAGGAAACATCTGAAAGTAACTGGGAAAAACAGGTGCTCAGCACATCTCATTCATATTAAAAAGGTAAAAGGAAGGAGTGGCCGAGATCAATGTGTGCTTTGGCTAGATCTCATCCTGACCTTGGGAATAGCTAGTCTTCTTCCACTGCTATTTTCTGAGAGTCAAGTAATAAGCTACCTTCACAAAGGCAAGCTAATCCTAGTAGATTTATCTGATTTAATCATGCCCCAGGACCTAGGTAGTTTGCACATTAGTTCTCAAGCCAATTTGGAACATTAGGTGGCAAAAATAATATGGCAAATATTTCAGGAAGAGCCCTAGCCCTCTGTCTTTATTAAGGCTGTATTGATGAAGATAACTTCCCTGATGAGCGTCTGCCTTGAGTGTCTCTTAAATTGGAGCAGTTTGAGAATCAGGGAAGATACCACAGTGACCTTGGCTAGCCTCAACATGGCTCTGTAGTTCAGGCTTGTTGTTAGATAAGTGCTGATAGTTAATTAACTTATTGCCATTTTATTATGAGTCTAGGTACAATTCAATTTGCAAGCTTTCCTTTCAAAATCATTCTGCTATTAAAGCTGCATAATCTTAGAAGGTTTTGAAGACACATAATTGATAAATCTTTTTTCTCTTCATGCATTTTCGCTCATGTTTATTCATTGAAAGTGTACCAGTCCTATAATTCACACAAAGTCTTGAGATATTTGGCTTCTTGTGTTTCAAGGGGAGATGAAAGGTGATGTCATCCTAGAAGTCATTTGAAAGGCAGAGTTGAGGCCTGAATGCACTTGATCCCCTTATTGTGGTTGGTAAGACTGGGCCTGAGATCTGTGGTACCAAGAAAGTTACCTGGCACCCAGATAGGCAAATGCTTGGTGACTGGATAGTTACCGTGTAAACAAAGCAGGCTTCTTTTTGTAACATTTCCATGCTTTCGGTACCCCTTTCTGACCGACTCCCCCTTCTATTGTCCTGGCTCCCACTTATATTCCAGTCATTACTGGAGCAACTTCCCAGGCTACAGAAAAGCAGCTCTTTTATTACTTGATGACCTGTTCGAGTCACTTTTAGGATCTAGCTACCTTGAGTGAACATCAAATCAATTATGCCTAAATCTCAGGGGACAGAATATAGGCATCAGCATTTCTAAAGCTCCTCAGATGTTGCAAAGTGCCGCCAGTATTGAGAACATCTCTGGATCACAAGAGTGATCTGAATCACAGGCTGCAGAATCTCTGGTAGACACTGAGTCT